ATAGATAGCGTCTTGTTTTGACGTTTAATTTGACGGCGCCTTGCCCTATGCTTTTATTAGAAAATATTAGTTATTTACAGGTGATCATTCATTTACATTACCATTTACATACGGCTATATTTTCTTAATGTTTCTTCTCTTGCACATCCATGTAAAACTTGTACAGGGCCAAATGCATTGAATTTATTCCTCGTACTATACAACAGAGTTTTAGAGAAAGATGATTTGATCCAATTTTATTCAAAAGAAGTTTCCTTTTCGCTTATTAACTTTCAACAAAAAAATATGTAGCACTAGCGCGCCATCTGTTATCAAAATTCGAAATTATTTTAAAGGGGTAAGATTATTTTTGAAAATAAACAATTTTTACTGCCATTACTGCAATGTAATTTCCATTGCAGTAAGGGCAGTGGAAATTGTTTATTTTCAAAAAAAATCTTACGCCTTTAAAAAAATATGTGGTACTCCAGTTCCGAGTCAGTTTTTTTACTAAATAATGTTCCATAACTTCTCTCGTTGGAAGCTATGAAATTTAAACTGCCTCTGCACTGATGTACTAACGACTGCGGTCATACCACATTGGAAACATCGATTCCTGTCCAATCACCGAAGTTAAGCAATGTCAGACCTGGTCAGTACTTGGGAGGGTGACCACCTAGTAACACCGGGTGCTGCTGTAGGATAAGGATGAGAAACTAATAATAGTCATAGTCTGAAACCATTGTATACAGGTTGTTGGCTTTTCCAAAACTGGTTTTGTACCACATTCTTTCATCTGTGTTTTATACACAGAGATTATAAATAAAATACATCGTTTTGTTTTTATAAAACATTTGCTTTTTAACAGCCTTCACAGAGACTAGACAATTTACTATAAAGCATGTCCTTTATAAAGTAGAGATTTAATATAATTTTGAAGGGACTCCAGATTTTGTTCGCTATATAGCAAAGGCGGTTATATTGAATGGTTGTCTTATAAACAGAGAAGACTGTATTTACTAACTGATGGACACTAATGGATTAATGTCGTCGGTCGTCTCTGTTTTTTTTTAAGGAGACAAAGGCATTTTTGTTCACACTTTTGGTTATCTCGTTTGTCTTCAATAAAGGTCACAGTATAATATTTCAGAGTAATTGTCTCAATCCCGATATACATGCTAAAGGTTCAACTTTCTTAAGTTTTGTCCATGAGTGTATCTTTCAGAGTTATTGTCTGAATCCTGATATACATGCTAAAAGGTACAACTTCCTTAAGTTTTGTCCATGAGTGTATCTTTCAGAGTTATTGTCTGAATCCTGATATACATGCTAAAAGGTACAACTTTCTTAAGTTTTGTCCATGAGTGTATCTTTCAGAGTTATTGTCTGAATCCTGATATACATGCTAAAAGGTACAACTTACTCAAGTTTTGTCCATGAGTTTATCTTTCAGAGTTACTGTCTGAATCCCGGTATACATGCTAAAAGGTTCAACTTTCTTAAGTTATGTCCATGAGTGTATCTTTCAGAGTTATTGTCTGAATCCCGATATACATGCTGAGAGGTACAACTTCCTTGAGTTTTGTCCATGAGTGTATCTTTCAGAGTTATTGTCTGAATTCCGATATACATGCTATAAGGTTCAACTTTCTTAAGTTATGTCCATGAGTGTACATCCCATTGGTTAAAGACAATTGTGAAGGAGGCTTCACATCGTTAAAATAACTTGAGGCACTTTCAGTTTTATTTATAGAGGTACCAGGGAAGGTATTTCTGTACGAGGCAGCTCACCTATGGCTTGTGCCGCTCTGGGCTTTTTCCGTGTTTATGGTCGACATTTTGTCATGAGAAATGTGAACCTCCTTCTTCTTGACCAAGTGTCGGCAATCTTTTGAGTCGGAAGAGTCGAAAATTACAATTTACGAAATTTCAATTTTTTTAAAACACCAACATATCATTAGAAATTGGTTGACCCTTAGCGCGCATGTCGCGGATTCTCCCTTTCGAAAACAATATCTTTCCATTGTTCTTTAATCCAATATGCACAATAGACAAAAATAAAGGAAATTGAAAGTCTTTAATGTCGCCTATCGTCTATCTTTTTTTTAAAGGAGACAGAGGCAATTTTGTTCACACTTAGTTATCTGGTGTGTCTTCAATAAAAGTCACTGTTTATCAAGTATCTTTCAGAGTTATTGACTGAATACCGATATACATGATAAAAGGTACAACTTCCTTAGGTTTTGTCTATAAGTGTATTCAGGTAGTTATATATATATTTAGCTAGTGTATTCATGCAAGTTGTGACGATATATTCCTCGCAGTGATCGCTTTCTTTTTTAAGATACGTGATAAGTAAAACCATCATCCTCTATTGAAGAACTTCTATCTTTGTACGGATAAACCTGACTTGAAATTTGAGTCAAATTTGTAGAGAAGGCAGGTGTTGTTGGACACAAGTCCGACTGTGGTTTATTGAGCCGAGAGTCCAGCGTCCCGCGCTAGGCCGTAGAAGAAGGAGTTGGGATTCTTCATCAGGACCTCAGGGCGGTCCATCTCTACCACGTGACCGGAGTCCATCACCATCACCCTGGGACACAGTAGTCCGTACAATGATCCTTCTGGCTACACTTAGACAGAACATGGCAATAGCTTGCGTACATCCCAAAGTTGTCCTAGCCCGGAACATATGATCAGGAATGGACGGCTGGTGTTCACTTCCATCCTTCCTCTTTTTAAAATTTTCGAAAAGAGCATTTTACAGTTGTTATTGTCGTGTTCAATGAACAGATGTCTCCGTACATCTCTATCACAGCAATATTCTCTATCATGGTGTGTAAAGCTGCTGTTCTGGGTCCATGTCAATTTTCTGTTGTTGTTGTCGTGTCCAATGAACAGATGTCTCCGTACATCTCTATAACAGCAAGGTTCTCTATCTTGGATGTGTAAAGCTGCTGTTCTGGGTCCATGTCAATTTTCTATTGTTGTTGTCGTGTCCAATGAACAGATGCCTCCGTACATCTCTATAACAGCAAGGTTCTCTATCTTGGATGTGTAAAGCTGCTGTTCTGGGTCCATGTCAATTTTCTATTGTTGTTGTCGTGTTCAATGAACAGATGTCTCCGTACATCTCTATAACAGCAAGGTTCTCTATCTTGGGTGTGTAAAGCTGCTGTTCTGGGTCCATGTCAATTTTCTATTGTTGTTGTCGTGTCCAATGAACAGATGTCTCCGTACATCTCTATAACAGCAAGGTTCTCTATCTTGGGTGTGTAAAGCTGCTGTTCTGGGTCCATGTCAATTTTCTGTTGTTGTTGTCGTGTCCAATGAACAGATGTCTCCGTACATCTCTATAACAGCAAGGTTCTCTATCTTGGATGTGTAAAGCTGCTGTTCTGGGTCCATGTCAATTTTCTGTTGTTGTTGTCGTGTCCAATGAACAGATGTCTCCGTACATCTCTATAACAGCAAGGTTCTCTATCTTGGGTGTGTAAAGCTGCTGTTCTGGGTCCATGTCAATTTTCTATTGTTGTTGTCGTGTCCAATGAACAGATGTCTCCGTACATCTCTATAACAGCAAGGTTCTCTATCTTGGGTGTGTAAAGTTGCTGTTCTGGGTCCATGTCAATTTTCTGTTGTTGTTGTCGTGTCCAATGAACAGATGTCTCCGTACATCTCTATAACAGCAAGGTTCTCTATCTTGGATGTGTAAAGCTACTGTTCTGGGTCCATGTCAATTTTCAATTGTTGTTGTCGTGTTCAATGAACAGATGTCTCCGTACATCTCTATCACAGAAATTTTCCCTATCTTGGGTGTGTAAAGCTTCTGTTCTGGTTCCATGTCAATTTTCTGTTGTTGTTGTCGTGTCCAATGAACAGATGTCTCCGTAAACTCTATCACAGCAATGTTCTCTATCTTGGGTGTGTAAAAGCTGTTGTTCTGGGTCCATGTCAATTTTCTGTTGTGTTGCTGTTGTGTCCAATGAAGAGCCTCAGATGTCTCCATGCATCTCTATCACAGCAATGTTCTCTATATTGGGTGTGTAAAGCTGCTATTCTGGGTCCATGTCAATTTTCTGTTGTTGCTGTCATGTTCAATAAACAAATGTCTCCATACATCTCTATCACAACAATGTTCTCTATCTTGGGTTTGTAAAGCTGCTGTTCTGGGTCCTTGTCAATTTTCTGCAAGGCTGCGGCAATAGCTTTTTATAATATAAAGGACAAGATATATATTAAGTTTATCTGATTAATGCGTAAGGAACTAAAATTCTTTTTAAGGAAAAAATTAATCAAAAAATTGTTAATTCCCTCATTTTTATATGTTTTCCAAGATCCTATATCGGTATTGTGTCAAAAATGGCTAAGTAACACAAGCCAAACTACCTAAGAACTTATGCAGGACACCACGGCATTCAAGCAGCGTCTAGAAGTCTGGTATTCCAGATATCCCGATAGATGTCCGATTCATCGATGAAGTTTGACTGTCGAATTATTTGTCACATATAAGCAAACATAAATTAAGGTCGCCTCTCCCGCCAAAATAGACGTCAAAACTAGTCGCCATCTATTGACCACCGCCGCAACTAGCGGCCTCGGGTCGGTGACAAAGCCACAACACAAAACCTTTTGCCAAAGCTAGTGCTGTGGCTTTGTCACCAACCCGAGGCCGCTAGTTGCGGCGAGAGGCCTCCATGATGGGAGAGGCGACCTTTGTCTCTTTAGATCTATATCCTCCCGTAAAATTTCACCTCTATAAAAATAAATAAATTACAAGGCAATAACGCGTCATCTATATATAAGAAATTAGAACATTAAAGCATGAATGTTTCCTTTATACATAAAACAGTTTGAAGCATTCCAGTTATGTGGGGGAGAAATGTTGATTATTTGTTAAACGAGCTAATCTACCAAGCTTTCCTATTAGACACATATGGCCATGTTTGTACATAAAAGGGAATTAGAAACTATTTTAGACGCGTAAGATTCTTTTTGAAATTAAACAATTCTACTGCCCTTACTGCAATGGAAAAATTAATGGGAATCGAACCCACAGTGTTCCGAATACCGGGCAGATGCCATGTCCACTAGGCTAGCCTGGACACATCTTCAATCAGAGGATTCCTTTAGACAACATTCATTTATCTATAATACATTATAATGCGGCTAATGATTAAATGAATATTCGAAACTATTATAGACGCGTATGATTCTTTTAAAAATTAAACAATTTCTACTGCCCTTACTGCAATGGAAAAATTAATGGGAGGGCCTGGCTCATCAGTGGTGAACCCTCCTAGCGGTTTCGCCAGTTTAATCTACTATACCGCTCTTATATTGCATTTTTGGAACTTCCTTTTATAGTGATACTGTTGCTAGACTCTTGGAATGGGTATTTTAGATGAACTATGGACATAAGCTTTGAGGACAGTAGAATTACATACAACCATAAATATATAATATGCTTTGAGCAATCGCTCTTCCGCAAATATAAAATTGAGTCTTTTATTAGAACATCGTAATATAAATGTTCTAAAATAAAAGGGAGTTAATAACTTTTAACGCCTTGCCAAATGTTTCAATTTTTGTTTTCTTTCTGACAAGGACAAGAGATTTTTGTTCGAACGTCGAGATAATAAAAAGGTCTACTGACCAAAGTATCTTTAATTTTAAGTATCTTTACGAATCTCAAACATATATTTTGGTGGTACAGCCTACTCCACGCTGACGAGCGCCAACAGATGAAACGCGTTCGTGGATGGCTTTTCTTGATTTATCAAGAAATTGGGTTGGCCAGATATCAGGGAACAGGTTAAATCAATGAATAGTTGATTTCTGTTCCACCAGATGGCGCTCTGCCTTCTGAAAAGCACATGTGCTCTTGGTCAGGATATGCCTACTTTGTTTTAAATATCAACACAACTTTAGATGATTCTCGACAAATGCTACACGAGGGATTGGAAATAGGATCTAGGCGTGTGACAACCGACCTGTTACAGTCGAGGATGGCGGGAAGACGATGGGAGATGGTCAGCACGGTGCAGTCGGCAAACTGCTGTCTGATGGCTGAACGGATGATGGCATCTGTCTCGACATCCACGGAGGCTGTCACCTCGTCCAGCACCAGTATCTGTGTCTTACGGAGCAGGGCACGGGCGAGACACAGTAGCTGCCGCTGGCCCAAGCTGGCAGACACAAGCCTCTCTGTGGTAGATCAGAATGGACAAAAACCTAACTAACGTCTTCAGTAAAAGAGTATGTGGGATGGTTGCGTGCGTGTTGGTGTGGCTTGTGGAAAGGCCGCTGATAAAATTATAATTATTTTTATAAAATAAATTATTTATTTAAAGCCCCGAAATATATAAAGATAAAAGAAGTAACGGCCGCTGGAAGCAAGCCTTGTTGTTCGAAAGACGCGCGTGGCAAGAGTCCCGGATGCCGCCGGCGCATGCGTAGTAAGGTGTTCTCCCAGCTCGCGGTTGCCGAAGCGTAGTGAGGCCACCACACTACTGCCCGTATGTGTAGTGAAGCTTTGTCAGCGCTCGCTGAAGCAAAGTGTGGTCGCCACATGTATTAAACAATTAAAAATATTTCCAGAGATGAGTTTCTTTTTAAGTTTGTCATCAGGCGGCATTTTATTAATTATATATGTTCTCCTGTGGAGGAACAGAGAAGCCCAAAAGCTTGAAACTACTTTAATAAAATAAAAATAAACTCATCTCCATAAACCTGTTTAATTGTTGAATTAATGTCCAGGAGATTTAAATCAATTGATGGAAAAGTATTGTTAATAATGGTGCTACAATAGATGTGAATCTCATGGATATTATTTAAAATAATGCATCAGGTTTCTGTAGATGAGTTTATTTTCATTTTATTAATACATTCTAGAGATTTCTGGCATTTTTACACCCTTCTACAGGAGTACAAAACTAACAATAATGAACGCCGTTAGATACTAACTACAGTAGAACCTCCATGAGAGAACACTCATGCTAGAGGACACCTTTCTATAAACGACAGTTTTCATTTGTAAAATAATCATTTTTGCTATTTAGTAACTCTCCAGTAAGAGGACATCTCTCCCTAAAGGACAATTTGTCTCTGCAACTAGGCGTCCTTTACAGGGAGGTTCTACTGTAATAATGTTTTTATTCCAAGATCCAGTATTTGTTGTACAACGGACCTTGGCTGGATGTCCTTCTACAATTGTTCGAGATCCTATTGTGAGATTCTTCTTTCTGGAATTCTAAAGGAATACTTCAGTGAATGTTTTAAACACCTCTCTCGACTTTTATTAAGATAAAACTTCAACAGAAAGTTGAAAATAATTGTCTATCTCTCAGTAGAGAGATCTTTTTATCTTTTTAAAATAAAATTAAAATATTTATATATGTATATATTGTCACAGAATGTGTTGGTCTACTCGGTGAAATCATCATCAATCACATGATGTCAGCATTTTATTTGTAAATTGTTTGTTTAGATATCTCTCAGTTGTATTTTGGCGATCTGGGGAAATTTGTAAATACTTTCCTTGTTAAAATAAATTTGTTTTATTATCACTTGTTCTGGTCTCACTTATAATCTTGATATGGACAAAAAGGAGGAGGGGGAGCAGTAACAAGCTCACTAAAAAACCTGGGCTCAGCTGGCCCGGCTGATAGTACCCTGTAAGGGCTCCTAGTCCAGGGATACAGGATGAGCAGCGTTTGTACTCCATGTTAGGAGCAGCTGCACATGGCGTCTGTTCCTCATGTCAGAGGCGGCCATTTATTTTGAAGCTAAGTCGGCCTGCCACTGAGTAGTGCCCCCAGTCTTAATGACAAAGGCAAACGCATTCTACTTCACCCAGTGTCCTAATATGATTGAGTGAAGCTAAGAAAGAAGAAGAAATGGAGCAATCAAATATAGACATGAAGCCAATCTCCCAGTACGGTACAACTATATATGTATATATATATATAGTGTAGAAACTATATAACAAAATTATAACAGTGATTCTAATTTTAAAAACTTAAGGAGCAAACTGATAATAATGATAACTTATATCAGTTAGATTTGATTAGATTAGCAAGCTAAATCTAAATTAATTATAATAATAAATAGTTATTTAATTTTATAGTCCAGTTTTGTATTAAGATTATCTTCACTATTATGATCATTTAAATACAAATTATAAAATTTGTAAAATGTTATTAATTTGTAGATAGAGAGAGAAAAAAAAAAAATCCTTTACTTCTATTACATCCTCAAGTTAATTATATATTTATAATTAATAACAATAAAAAAAAATTAACAAAGTAACGTCTATTACATCGGCTTTTACACGTCATTCAGACATACTCTAATCCTATATATAGAATAATCGAAGAGATAATATATATAATAGTTAGAAAAAAGAGAGAAAGACAGAACCATGCACTTTTAATCAAACTAATAATAAGGAAAAGAAAAAAAAAAACAAAAAAGAGTTTTATAAAGAAGGTAGATAAGATTGTTAGTATATATATATATTTTTTTTTATGATTTTATATTTTATCCTTTTTTTTTTTTTTAAAGATTTTTAAAGGTTTTTTTATTTTATAATATGATTATAAATAGTTGTATTTAGTAATATATCTATAGTATGAATTAACATTTGTTATAAGTTTGGATATTATGTTTTGAAACCCTAATGGTAGACCAGACATACACAAAAAACTTTAAATTGAAATAAATTGGAAAAAGAGATCTGCTGGAACGGGGATCATCAGATAAAATTCCAGCGACATTTCAACCCCTTCTTTATTATGTCATAGATCTCTTTTAAACCGGATTTTATGTGTTAATATTAAGTTGTTTCAGTGAAATATTTAAATGAACATATATAACAGATACAAACCTACCTCGGCCGCTGCGTCTTCCATTGTGAGTATCTATTTCTGGCTCACACATGTCGCGGGAGGGGAATGTCCCCCCATATTTCAAATTTAGACCATTTATTCAGAATTTTTTTGAACAACAAGAAAATTAAAGAAGAAAGGAAAAATAGTTAAAGGAAGAAAGCTAAATTTTATAATCTTTACAGCTAGTTATATCAAAATAACTGATTTAACACTTATTCATCTTTTAATATTCCTTTAAAAAAGGCAAATTATAAGAGTTTAATAAAGCTATTAATTGTGCAAATTCACCTTTATTTAACTTCCATTTTCCTCCCCAGAAATTGGAGATTAAACAAAAATGAACTATATACTTTAACACTTTAAAAATCTTGTGAAAAAATCTTTTAATCAGTTATTTAATCAAAGTTTAATTAACTATTAAAGGTTATAAATTTGTATTAGTTAATATTAAGAGAAATTATAGAAAGTTGATTTCATAAATGGATATTTCCATTTATTTTTTTTTTAAATATTTTATAATTGATATACTGTTGAAATATTTTACTTGTTTGATACTAAATTTGTTTTTAATAAATTCCATGTTTAAATTTTTAACATCTTCTATGAAATTATCTAATATATTATTTATTCTATAAAATCTTAGAAACTGACCATAATATATACCTTTACAGCAATTTAATGATATATTAGAATTCATATTACAGTATTTTATAATATTGAAATTATAATTACTCTTTTTGTTATAAACTCTAACAGCACTATTTGTAAGGTCTATATTCAAGTCTAAAAAGTTAACTTTTTTGTTTCTATAAATTTTTTCATTGTTCTTAAGTTTCAAGTATTTAGGATAAATTTCAGGTATTAATTTTTTAAACAGTGGATTATTAAATATTATTATGTCATCTACATATCGGAATATTTGCCAATTAATATTATTTTGTAGAAAGTATTCTCTTTCGTACCAGAACAATATTAAATTTGCTAATAACGGACTAGAAGAAGTACCCATGGGAACGCCTTCTGATTGAATATATATTTTATTTTTAAATTCTATATAGTTAAAATTTAAAAATGTTTCCAGTAGAGTTTTTGCTGTTTTAAGATCTAATTTAAATGTTTTATATCTGTTATGAATAATTTTAATGTAGAAAGTTTTGTCATTAATGAATTCATTAAATAAATTGGTTATTTTATTATTTAGATCTCTTA